CTTTGTTGTTCCCCTTCAGAAACAAAATAAAATTCATAGGATAAATAAAAGTGAAGTGAAAGTATGAAAGTTAATTTTTTTAGCATGTGATTCCCATAACAAGTCAGCATAAAAGTAAAATATAACTTTTGTTCGAATTTTTTTTTTGAAAGTACAAAAGCAAATATGATGTGGCAACTATTTTTATTTATTTCTTTTTAATTGTATTTATTAAAATCATTACGTACTTGAATAAAAATGGTCAAGTGGTCCTCACCTTCTCATTTTCATGTGACTTGAACAGTTTCTTAGAGTAAGCGAGGGCTTTGAATATGATGTGGAACTTTTTTGGAGTTCACTTTGGAAATCACTTGCATTCGTCATCTTTTTATCGCGTCTTCGGCACACGGGAATCGAACCGAGGTCTCCCGCGAGGGAGTGACACGACGAACATTCGTCATTATTTAGTGTTAAAATTGAGAAATTGAGTCACTTTTCACACTTTAACTTTTTCATTTGCATGCAAACAAGCAACATTTAGTATTTTAAAGTTTATTGCAAATATATCTATTTGAGGAAAAGAATAACTAATAATTACTTGGGGACATAATAAACACATGTCATTTTTTTAGTAATCAAATAAGCGCATATCTTTAGTTCCAAAAAAAACTCGCATATCACCTAAAGTAGATTAAAAATGCTATTAAATAATACAAATCCCGTCAAAATTTTAAATAAATTTCAAGAAAAAAACCATATTGTATACAAAAATATCATAAACAATATATTCAGAAAATATTAGACTAAAATATGCAGAAAATACCACATAGATCCTAAGGGTGTGTTTGGATTTCAATGGGGTTAAGGGAAGTTAAGGGAAACTATGAGAGAGAATGGAAGGGAGTTACCTTCCCCTTGGTTACACCCTAATTTAAGGTAATAAATTTTATACTATTAGGGGGTGAACCAAGGGGAACTATGGTAAATAACTTCACCTCCTAAATATTTTCAAACAAGATGAATGGTTCCTCTAACTTCCCTTCACCCTTAGGGCTTGTTTGGATTGAGGGGAATGAGGGTGAAGGGAAGTTAGGGGAACCATTCACTTCCATTCACCTTATTTGGGAACACTTAGGAGGTGAAGTTAATTTACCCTAGTTCCCCTTGGTTCACCCCCTAATAGTATAAAATTTGTTACCCCCCAAATTAGGGTGTAACCAAGGAAAAGAGAATTCTCTTCCCTTCTCTCAGTTTCCCTTAACTTCCCTTCACCTCCTACAAATCCAAACATGCCCTTATTCTTCTCAATCCAAACAAGCCCTAAGAGCAAGGGCAGCAAGCTCCTTGCACCCCCTCTCAAGGCCTATGTGGCAGAAGTCAAGTTTGTAAGCCCTCCAGCAAGCTCCCAAGGAGCTCCTTGCGCCCCCTCTCAAGGCCTATGTGGCTGACGTGGACATTGAGAGCTTGGGAGCTCCCAAGCGCTCCACAAATTTGTGGAGCGCTTGGGAGCTCCCAAGCTCTCAATGTCCACGTCAGCCACATAGGCCTTGAGAGGGGGCGCAAGGAGCTCCTTGGGAGCTTGCTGGAGGGCTTACAAACTTGACTTCTGCCACATAGGCCTTGAGAGGGGGTGCAAGGAGCTTGCTGCCCTTGCTCTTAGGGCTTGTTTGGATTGAGAAGAATCAACGGTTAGAAATAAAATACAAGAGGTTTAAATATAATTAAAAGTAATGGGTAAAATATTAAAATAGAAGAGGGGTTTTTTTGATATTGTTGGAGCTCCTAACTAGGAGCTTGTTGGAGCTCCATAAAAGAAGGAGTGCCTCCCAAGGCTTAATTTGTTAATTTTTTAATCTAAAATGCTTGAGAGCTCTTGAGAGCTTGCTGACTAGGACTCCCAACTGGGAGCTTGCTGCACTTGCTCTAAAAAAACAACTTTGACCCAAATTAGGCGCCAACTTCTGTACAGGGTCTTTTTACATAACTTCAATTTATGGAAACCTGGAGAAATCCACTGTACCAAATGTTTAAGTGGGGTTTAAAGAATTTGAACCGCCTTCTTCTTTTAGCTAAAAATTTCTCTTCCCCGTTCTTTTCTAGGGTTTCTCATTTGGTGTTACTTGTTAGGGTCTCTTCGTTTCAATTCCGAGTCAATTTCGGCCAAGGTTCGTCCTCCTTCCCTCTTTCTCTCATTAAAAAAAAAAAAACCAGTTTCCATTTTTAATTTAAATTTTAATAAGTACCCATTTAAATTTCCCCCGTGTTTCAGTGATTTCTACAATCAAAATCTGATCTTGTCACCTGGGTCTTCTTCAAAAATCTTCAATGGACGCTCAAATCCGATCCCAGCGAAGCGAAGACGCAATCGTCATCCCAACCCAACGGGAATTCAAACAACCCATTTCGAAGAAACCGAGAAACTCAGAAACCCCCCCTTCAGATCGTCCCAAAAGACCCAACTGTTTGTTCTTCAAGACCCGTCTCTGTTTGAGATTTACATCCGGCAACTGCGCAAATGGCCTTAATTGCACCTTTGCTCATGGGTCTCAGGAACTCCGTGCACCTCTCCCGAGTTGGCAAGAATTTGTTCCTGAAGGTGGTAGCATGAATCAAGAACAACTGGTTCTTAAGAACAGGATATGCAAGATGTTTTATCGAGGGGATGTTTGTACTTACGGGGAGAAGTGCACTTTTGCGCATGTAGAGCCTGGAATGCTTGGAGATAATGTGAATTCGAGCAAGAGGGATTCTTCGGCTTTGGAGCCGGGGAAGGATTTAGAGGGCATAGTTGTTCTTGGGTCGGGGAGCGGGAGCGTGCGGAAACAGACATTTTGGAAGACGAGGATGTGCAACAAGTGGGAGGTTTTGGGATATTGCCCTTTTGGTGAGGGGTGCCACTTTGCTCATGGGCTTGCAGGTATTCTTGAATCTTGATGTTCTTTTTGAGAGTTATGGTGGGTATAAGCTCCTCGTATTTCATCAATTAGGGTTTAATGAAACATAGTAAACATACAAGAAAAGGGTGTATCTGTAGATAGGTATACTAAATGATAAAATGCCCCAAATCTTATCATGAACATATGGATGTTTTACGCAAAACTATCAGGCTTTTTAGCTGGGGTAAGTTGTCCCGTGCCTAACGTGTGACATGATTTGAACAATTTTGACCTCATTACTTCATACATCTTATCTGCTACCGTTGCTAGCTTTGTGGGTTGCTAGGATATGTAAGGGTCGTTTAGACCTTTTGTCCAAGACATTGACTGTTTTATGTAACAATTTACATTAGTAATTATATTTTACTACAGGTTTGAAAGCTCATGATAGTTTCCTCTAAACAAGGTTTATTGTAGTTTTTCATGAGATGTCAATTTGGTCATGGGCTTGCATGTTCTTGTTGAATCTTTATGTTTTATTTGCGAATAATTATGGGTATAGCCTCTCGTGTTTCATTAATAATGGTTCGAAAAACATCTTCATACCAAGAAAAGACGTCTCTGTATATATGAAAACGGTAAATTCCAGAAATATACCATGAATATTTGGATGTCCTGCAGAAAACTATCATAGAATTTTTAGTTGGAAAAGTTATCACGTGCTTAACACACGACGTGTTTTGAATAATTTTGGCCATATGAACTTTATATGTATTTTTTATACTACCCTTACAAACATTGTAGGATGATAGAACAAGTAAGGGTAGTTTAGACCTTTACCCAAGACATGAACATTATTAGCAATAATTTCCAATAGTTCGTGATATTTACTCCAGTTTTAAAATTCTGTGATATTTTCCTCTAATAAAAAGAATTTTATGGTAGTTTTGTGAAATTTACCCGATAAAAAGTAACTGGTCTTATAGAAGCTATGGATGAATTTCCCAGCCTTGACAAAATATCCGTATGTGCTAAAAAAAGCATTAGTCTGGAAGACAAAACCAAAAGAATCTTTATGTTTCTATTAACTCTGTTATTTAAACAACTAAATCTGCTTTGTGTATTACTTTAATTATTACTGTATAACTTATACCTCCTTAGTGAGGGGTGTGCCATTTTCTTTAGTGATTTGCATTAGACTAGTGTAGGAAATTTGCAATTATTGGAACAAATTACAGAGTCAGGCTGTGTAGAACAGCAAGTTTGGGGATTTTAACTTTTAGGTAATTGGATGTTAGCTCAGAACCGAACATGTGAGATTTTACTGTTTTGATTGAATGACTAGCGCTTGGACATGGCTTCACAATGTGGCCCTCTGTTATCATGAAATTTATCCCTTTTAACTTTGTACTATAAATCTCATTAAACGAAACTCCAGAGCAAGCACGTGCACACACATGTTTAAGGGGGTTAATTGCACATAGACCCCTGATGTATCACTGTTTTCGACCTACTACCCCTGTAGTGTCATTGTTTCAAATAGATCCCTGGGTTAAATTTCTTCAACTCTCTTATCCTGGGGTGAGAGTTTGGTAGATATTGGGCCTGGGTGAAAATTAGTGAGTCAATTAGGGTAGAAGAATCAAAAAAGTTTAACCCTGGGACTATATGCAATAGTGAAATTGCAAGGGTAGTAAGTTCAAGACGATGATACTACAAGGGTCTATGTGCAAGTAACCCCTAGTTTTAAGTGTCTACAGTGGTGATTGGGCATGTTGTGTTTGGTTGGTAACCAAGTTTTGATCTCTCTCCTTCGTTATGTACAATTTGTGATTATTTAACATCCCTAATTCTACAAAATTTGTACGTTTGTGCAGATTACACATCATTATTTTCTCTTAATTTTTTGGTTCCCAATGTCTGATAGTCCTGTATTCATATCATTCTATTTTGTTCTTCGTTTAATTGCCTTATCTTAGATTAACCTCTAACATAGATGAATAAATGTTTGAAATACTCATCCTTTTGAAAAATATTCGTTTTTTCGCGATATAGCATTTAGACAAAACTAATGACTAGTACTTATTGACGTTTTAACATTTTCCCTGGTATCTATGTCATGCTCCAAGTTCCTCAAGCTCTTCAATTCTAAAGCTTAATTGAAGAGATGAGATTGTAAATGGCTACAAATGAAGTACCTACATCTGCTTAGCTTTCTGTGTGTCTTACTGACCTCTAAGTTACATCATTGTTAATATGCGACAGAGCTGATGGACTTCAAAAACCAAAAGGAGTTGGATAATCCAAATACCACTGCAGCGACTCTGAAACCCCCTCTTCATCAAGCTAAGCTTGTGTCATCAAGCACAACATCGAGTGTCAAGCATCAGAGTCGGGGTTTCTTGAAGTGGAAAGGGCTTGAGAAGATAAGCCGCATCTATGGAGACTGGATCGACGACATCCCATTTTGATTCTGCAACTCACCATCCAAGGCTGTTCATCAGAGTTTATGAA